GGGATACTGAGAAATATATATATTGAAGAAAGACTCATGGCCAGAGAAAGACTCAACTCGTGCCTTTGGATTCAAAATACCACATCTCTATCAGTAACACATGTTCACAACTGTATTTAGATTATTCCTGTTCTTTAGGTCCATAGTAAAAACAAGTTGTACTCTAACTATAGACTGTATATGACCTAGTGTGACAAGCAGAAGGTTTGTGTCTGACAGAGAGCTAAGGTGAGACATTTGGTGCAAAATCACAGAAAACCTGACGTGTGGCTACAACTTCAGTTACATATCTATTATTCACAGATTTCCCCAGTCCTGTAATTCCGTGCTGCAAACACACTTTATTCCTGTAGATGATTTCAAGAAACCACGTTCATGCTATCTTGAGTGGAAACAAAAACGCAGCATTGGTTCAGGCTAATGTCTTCCCAAAAGTTTACACACTTGCTAAAAGTCCTTGGTTTTCAAGCACAATCTTCCTCTCTACTGTTCATTATCACAACCCCTCTGCCACATTGTTTAAAGAGTTCATTTTACAGAGATTTTTGTGAAATAGATCGTACCAGGTCAATGCAATAATACATTTTATTTTAAAGTTTGACTAAGGTTTCGCTTTGTTATCAGCTTTTATCAGGCTAGTTTGTATCATTGAGGCCAAAGGGAACTGTTTGCTAAAGGAGCGCTGCCGATAGCATTAAGGGTCAGGATGATATATTACAATTACAGTAAATTAGTACCCCGAATCAGACCTGACTGCATTTAAAAAATGTTCAATTTAACTTTATGTGATTAGATTTTAATTAGTTTTATTAAAAGTATGGCAATATATTAAAACATTTTCATGACAACCAATACTAAAATATAATCAAAAACGATGATGACTTTTTGAGTTTTTATTCCTTTTTATCGACATTGGAAATAGAAAAACATAATTTGAGTAATGTTCCTAATGCTCAAGGCATTTTAACACAAAATGAATACACACAGCTAAACTGTAATTTGTGCCATTTGTGTTTTGTCATGTGATTTAAACAACTGTAAATGCTGAATATGCAATATACGTTTAATTTGCAATTGAAAATGTTTTTGAGATGTTTAAAGAGGAAGAAAAAAGTATTGTGTTTAACTCCATTACATACATTTTTCACTGTTAGAATTGGTTTATGGTACTAAATATAAAAAATGCCATGTACATAGTTAAAACAGTACATTACAGGGTAGGTTAATCGCACACTGTGGCCTTAAGAAGGTTTGTAGAGTTTTCCTTGCCGACAACAGACACTTTTATCCTTATATGAATAAGAACACATTTATGATAACACAGGGGTGGCTTGATTTAGATGTTTTTTAAAAGTAGCCGATGCCTAATTGTTCTTTGAAGTGACGGTATTTCCATTTGAAATGTATTGGCTGATTTGTGCTAGCAGAAATTAAATGAAAAACATAGATCCCATCCATCTGTTGTTTAAGCAACAACTACCGTACCGTAAAGGGGTTCTCCAACAATTGAGTATTGCAGATCTATAAAGCTGAGGAGGATTTGCAGCAGGTGGAAAGCCGGAGATACGTATAGCAGCTACAATCACAAGGAAGAGAAATCAAAGCGTTTATGAGACAGGTGCATAGACACACATGTTTGACTTAATGACATGATGATGTATTGCAGCTGCAATCATCAGCATGTCATTAAAGGCCTTTATGTTGTATGCCACGCGCCGCGTTAACAGCTCCAAATGTGAATGTATTGGTGCCTGAGGGAAACAAAAGTATTTATTCCTTTTTAACTGGTTTAAAATGAAGCTTTAGTCTATGCGAGTTATTATTCTCCTCCTTTGCATTTCAATAAAATGTTTCCACTCGTTGCTTTTTCAACCCCTTCTTTGGGTGTAAATGCAGGGTGTTTTGACTTTGGGACAAACTCCGGCCGTTTCTCAATGTCGAGTAAAGCATGCTGCAGAACCACTATTTCAAGTATACTACGTCATCGAGTGGCGCCGAAGGACTGTTTAAATGCCCAGCATTCGGCCACTCGATGACGTGGTATACTTGAAACCATTGTTTAGAATTAGCATCTCTCGGAATAATACATTCAAGTTATTTAAAAATCTTTAGTGCTGTTTCTATATTGTTAACCTCTTTTCTTTTTTTCGTTTTTGCAACAGTCTCTGTAAATGTACAAAACTTTACAATAAAATGCACAAGTCTACCGTTTGCTAGATTAGTCCCGGGTATATATGGTCCTTAGTAGAAGAAGTTGATTCTCAAGTGGTTACCATCTGTATCTGTATTTAATATGGCATAGGCTGGTTACTAGTAAATGTTTGCACAGAACTATTTGGTCACTTCATGTTTCATGACAGACACAAACAGGGTTGCACACGGTCAGGTCGTGCAGTTGGTTAGTCAGGACCGATGCTCGCTGTCAGAGGGCTTGATAACGCCATAGATAACCCACTCACACTAGTTGGTTTGGAACGGCATCTCATGTGGTGGACCCTCTATGCGGACTTTCCATCGGAGTGGTAAGGGGAGTGTGTAGGGGGTCGGTTTGGAATTGGGCCGTAGAGCTACAGTCAGCCTATAGAGGGAATTTGGCTGAATTAAGGGGTCAAATTAACCAGGACTTTCACATTTCTATTGCTGGTGTCCCGTTGAATTGATTTTCGAGGTACTTGTATTTTGACTGAGTATTTTCATTTTATGGTACTTTATTCTTCTACGCCACAACATTTTAGAAGCCAGTATTGTATTTTTCACTCCACTACAATTATTTGAAAGCTTTTATTTATTTATTAGTTTATTTCATTCATGGTTTACTTTACAGATAAGATTGTTTTTGATAAACAAACTGATAAAAAATCCCGCCACTGTAGAAAGTATTTAGAATTAGCCCCACCTTTACCAGCTGTGAAATACACATGAATGCATCAATAATCATAATTGAGTAGTCACATTTATGACATAGCTTAGTTGAATACTCGATTCTGATTGGTCAACTGGGAGATCCAAGACCTTGTTAATTCTTGCTGTCATACGTCAGCAGTTCCAGATGTTGGTACGCAGTGGGACCTACTATTTTTTCTTTCAATAAAATAATTGTATATCAATATTGTGAATCAAGTCGTTGGTTAATGTAGTATGTAACCATGTAATAAGCGGGATAATGTCCAGAGAGGGGGACATAAATTAAAAAAAGAACAGTATCATGTATGTAGATCCATGTATCATTCTGAAATGGTTCATTACGACTAACGAGTATTTTCACTTTTGGTACTTAAATACATTGTTATGCTAATACTTTTGTTCTTTGAACTACTGTAAGATTTTAAATTCAGGTGTTGCTTCTTTTACTTTAGTATTAAAATACTTATTCTACCACTGCTCAACTCAAGTAATATATTAGATGATTTGATGTACACAACACAACTAACTTAAGATATGTGACAAAAATGCTTATTTTAACCAAAACAATTATCTTGGTAAAACCCAACCTAGAAGTTTGTTTCGATTCTGAAGACTACCCTGCATGGGAAAGTAACACCAGAGGGGTCCTAACCAAGCTGTGTGTCAAATTGGGAAGTGTTATATGTATAGTCTATAGCTTGAACTAGAGAATTATATATATACGTATATATTTGAAATAGGTGGTATTCCTCTTTAAATAAAAATAATAATCTTTATTTATACATTTATATAAATAGCTAATCTACTATCTTAATGATTTCCCCTGCACAGATCAAAACACTAGGCTGTATATACTGTACATCCAAAAATACAGTTTGTTTCTCAAAGCTTTGCGTGGACTATACGTGACGCATGAGCAGAAAGCACAGGCCGGGTGAGAGCTACATACTGCATAAAGATAGAAGTGGTCGTAACCCAGCGTACAACATAAAAACAGCACTGTAAGCATGTGAGGCACACGTGCTGTGGAGTGAAACATGACCTGGATCATGGAGAAAAGGCAACGACATATTTCAACTCGATAGCTGGACACTTTGCTTGGGGACACACGGCAACAAGATCATCACATCTATATACTGGAGACCACAACAGAACACTTGTGTCCCTACAATCATCGGTTCTTTTCTTTATCAGTTGTTTTTCTTTTGGTTTCAGCTGACTTATTTCATCTTCATAGTACTTCTGTCTGTCCGCTAAAGCACGAGCATCTGTTCGTTCCTCAAGAAGCAAATGATAGTTGGCTTAACGATGGATTCCCTTCTGTCCTCCCATCCATCTGGTTATGTATGTGGGAGGGAAACATTTGATACATTTCTAGATTTTTGGCAAAAACAGTATTTTAAAGGTTTAACGGCCCTGACTAGCTTGTGTGTAACTTAATATTTTAATTTTTTAATATATTTAAACACACTTAGGACATGTTACAGGCACATGTAGGTATCACCAGGGTTACCAGGAGGAAAGGACCTGAATAAAGATTAACTGTACATAAAAGCCTCACGTGATATAAGTAATCAGCCTAATCTATGCTTTATCATCCTTCAGTCTATTGGTAGTTCAAAACAGACAGTTAGGATAAAACAGACGTCCTGTGGGGGATTGTCTTCTCGTGTTTCGGTCACCACAAGTCACCTGGGTTCAGCTGTGCGCTCAGATCAGTGGATGTAGTGTCCAGTGACATGCTCATATGGATGACATCGTCCGAACACTGCAGTCGGATTGACTTTGAGCTCTCTCCTCTGAGGGAGACAGTCCTCTTTTGCCTCCATCCACACAGGACTCGACACAGGAGGGGGAAACATAAGCGGAGCAGGAAGCAGCAATCAGGTCAAGTGATCCGATTGGTCCGTCACATCGTCCAAGTCTTCCTCCTCCACCCTCATTGGCTCCACGGCTCCGGAGGAGTGCTGCGACTGGCTGGAGCAGGAGAGGCTGTGCGTGTCGTCGTCATCGTCCGCCATCAGCGCCCGCCTCCCCTGCGCCTCCTTCTCCTCCCCTCTCCACCCCCCCTTTCTCCCTCTGCCCATCCCTCTCCTCTGCTCCTCCAGCGTCCACATGCTCTCGTCCTCGTCCTCCTTCCCCTGCACCTCCCGGTCAAAGTCCAGCAGCTCCTCCATCATCTCCTCAATCTCCATCTCCCCGTCCAGCTCCTCCTCCACCTCCGACCGGAGCTCGCCCATGCTCTCGGTGCGGTTGTCGTCCGTCTCCTCCTCCTCCCCGAGCCCCCTCAGCCTCTCGGGGGGCTCGCTGGCCTGACTCTCTCCGAACTCCAGGATGGTGGGGAGGTTCCCCTGCTTGGGGCAGCGCTTCCTCAGGCTGAGCAGGAAGGGCTGCGGCAGAGAGAAGATGTCCACGTTGTTGCCCAGGTCGATCCATGTCACGCTGGGGAAACTGCAGGGGTCCTGGGGTGATGAAGAACAACATACTGTATCAAAATATCCTCCTCATCATCGACCCCTCCCACCCGGGACACAAACTGTTCACCCCCCTCCCCTCTGGCAGGAGGCTCACTCCATCAGGAACAAAACCTCTCGCCACCTGAACAGTTTCTTCCCCTCTGCTACCGGCCTCATAAACAAGGTCCGGCCCCCCTACTGACACTTTACCTCAGCCACAACGCAATGTACGACATTATTTTGTATTACAGCTGATTTTGATTCCATATTGTATTCCTCTATTTCATTCCATTACAATGAAAATACTGTTATATTTTACCAAATATTTTTTCATACATATATTTTCTAGTTCTCTACCTGTGTTTTTAATTCTTAGTTCTTTATGCACCACGACACCAAGTCAAATTCCTTGCGAGTGTAAACCAACCTGGTAATAAGCCTGTTTCTGACTCTGATCGTCAGTCATCATCATCATTATAATTTCATTTTATTTGAAGTATGTTACAGTACTACTACTGAAAATCGCTAAGTAAAGTGCCCTCACTTCTAGCCTTTAAACATACTCGCCATGTAAAAATATGTTTTTATACCTAAAGTACAAGCAGACTATATTTTATTACAATATATTTATCATTTATAAAAAATTGAAGGAATATACAGTCATAAAATGATTGATATTTGTAAAAAAAAATAATAATACAATACACATTTAAATGTATCATGAATAAATACAAAATAAAAGTAAATAATACATGTATCAACAAATATTTACAATTATGACATTTATCAATACATTTTATTGTCAATTTTTCTCTCTCTCTATACAGGCGCTTGTTGGTGCATTGTTCATATTACATGATGGTGTTAATAGTGGAAAAGACTATGTTTATTTACATTTTTTAATTCTGTTAACATTTCATTTCTCTAGAAGCTTTTCTTAAGAACTCAGGCACTTCACCTGTATTTTAATCAGAAGAACCAGGAACTCAATGTGTTCCTTCAGAGGGAATTAAACTAGCAGCCAATTTACTTCCACGTGCTTACAAAGCTCTTTCTGCTGGTTCAGTAAACCACTGTGGCAAAGTTTGCTAAATGTCTGCAATTGGTCTAATAAAGCCTGTGGTGCACTTCTGTACTGTGTGTCCCCTTTCCTTCCATTCATTAGATCGGTTAAACATCAAAGTCATGCAACAGTAACATTTAAAAAACAACATGTCACAGTGTTTCTATTTCCTCCAGTGTCAAAAGTGGAACTCAAACATTGCCATCATTTGGCCAAAATGTCACGATTTTTCAGATTCTACAAACGCAAGTAATTTTAAGTCTTATATTTAGTTCCTAGGAAAAATATATAACTTCCAACAAAAAGCAAGGGGGCTCATTAACAGGGACTACACTAATACTGATACTATGCTGCTACATTGTAACCATTTGGACAAATATATTAAAATGTCTTGCTGACCTTCAGGGCGTCGGTCAGCTCCTTCAGAACAGCTCTGGTCAGCCTGTTTCCGTTCAGAGCCAGAGTCTCCAGGTGAGGCAGGGCGGCCAGCGTGGGCAGCAGCAGGAGGAAGGCCTCGTCCGTCAGATCTGTGAAGCCCAGCTCCAGGCTGCCCAGGATGGACGCGTGGCGCTGGAGGTGTGCACACAGACGCTCCATGTCCCGAGCAGCCAGAGGAATACCGGACAGATCCAACGCCCCGCTGGACAGAGGGGCCGTCAGCACCGCCTTCAAACTGGAAAGGGACACATGAGACAAAGTTAGAGCCAAAATGCTTAAATGGGCTTGCAGTGAAATGTTATGTATCGGTGGAACTAATATATAAGAGTAATTAGAACAACCCATCCTGTACGTCCTTCTACGTCATGGGCCCGCTCCTTTTTGGGTGAAATATCTGCCATCCATTGACTGGCAGTAAATACACATTCTGAGATTTCAATTAAAAAAATTAAGAATACCATGCATTTTTTATCCAACAAGGAGCCAGAATACAATGCTCAGTCAGGTAAACAATTACAGTATGTCACTTGATATTGATGATCGGCGTCCATATATGGTGAAATTAAAAGCAATAGGAGATTGATGTCCTTTCACTCTGCCAACACTTTAAGAGGGTTTTCCATGGCTTGTCAGTGTTTTATATTTCAAAGCAGCATCTAAATATACAAGTTTGACTTTCAACATTACAACTGTTTAGTCTGACGATTGACGTTAGCCTTATTAGCATCATAATGTAGCTGAGATTAAGTGTTTCCCAAAAGAAAGCCAAAGATTTCTTCTTTTACCGTCCTTTTTTTTAAGTTAAAGTATAGAAAAGTGTTACTTTGGATGTTTTTAGTTGTTGAACGTGCATTACAAAACACGGTTTTTTTCCCACTTTGCACCGGTTCCTTGTTTACATCGGAAAGTGGGCGGGGCCATAATTTCGCCAGGCATTGACTATGGTAATTAATATTCTATTTTATGAAACCTTATTGTTGAAAATATTCCTGCACACAATTGAATTTCAAAAACAGCTCAACAATCTTTTTTACACATGGGCAAATTATATCTCATATTTGTGTATAAAACATTGTGACAAGGGAACATATGTCTATAGCTAAAACACTTTTTTTACACATTCAAACAAAATGTGTGTGTCACAGTCTGCTCCATCATTCACCAGTAGTTTTCCATTCATCTGTCTCACCTGTTAACCACACACACGTTTTTGCTCACTCTCTTACTGCACCCATTAGTTTTACTGCCAGTATTTACCCTCACCAGACACACACCCGTTGCCAGATCGTACTTTGCCTTCATGCTAGTCTTTCACGCGTTTGTTATCAGATTGCCTACCCGGTTCCGACCCTGCCTGTCCCTGACCTGCCTGCTCTGCCTGTTCCCTGATCCTGCCTGTCCTTGGACTATCCTGCCTTGCCTGCTGTCTGACCCTCTTCCCGGCCCTGACTCACCTTCTGCCCGCTGTCCTCTGGTTCGTTTGCCTGCACATCATCCGGCTGTTACTGTTCTGCTGGTATCCCTCTGCTCCGGTATTATTACCAATAAAGTACATTACCAATACTCCTTGGTTTCTCGAGTGCTGCATTTGGGTCCTTCATAAGATTGTGACAGTGTGGTTGTTATTATTATAATTTGTTTTAACAATTCACATATTCAGATACATGCATGCAATTTCTTTTTTACACAGGCATCCATAATGTGATATACAAATGCAGCATAATAATGGCCCTTAATGGCTCCCATAGTTTGAAGCTATATATTGGACCAATTATGCTTATTTTTGTTCTTTTATTCTTCAAATAAATATTTTTTCTTTACGTTATATTGCATGTTTATGCCAACCATATTTCTCGTATCAGTAGATTAACATAATCATTACATATGATACAACACTAACACACATTTTGCCACCTACATATTCACGTAAAACGCGTCACTTCACACTTCTCAAGGTGACAGCACGGCAATATGGTAATGTTTCTGTTTCAATGTTGCGTCCGTTTGGCTGTTATTTACTGTCATGAAAAATGCACACAATCCATTCAATAAAAATAGGTTGCTCTGATAAAGTCACTTCCCTCTAAATGTTACACTTTGACACGACACAGTTACTAACAGTAATATACGTTACAAATTAATAATTAGAGTAATAGTTTGACGCTTGGGCCAGTTAGCTTAGCTTAGCATTACGACTGTAAACAGGGGGAAACAGCTAGCCTAGCTCTGAGGCTCACTCATTCAGATGTTAGTGTGATATCGATCTTTAAATCTAATGTTTATGTAACATACATAACGCATTTACCCTACTGTGCACTATTTTTTCAGTGTTTTCTGTTTTATTGTGTTGCACTGTTGGAGGAGCCTGTGACCTAAGATTTTCATCATCATAACTACACTGTAGCTATGTACGCATGACCAATAAAAGCCAACCTTGTATGTCATTTATCATCACTCTACTTCCAGCTGCAGAAACCCTCAGACATGCAATCCTCACTTCCAGACTGGAGTATTGTAACACCATCCTCTATGGTATTGTTTGGGGTCATTTTGTGAAATAGGCTACCCCCTCTGCCTTCGCTCATCAGAAGCCAATCTCCTGTCCATTCCTACACAGACCAAGTACAGAGTCTTTCCATCACTGCCCCCTCCCTCCAGAACTTACTCCCAAAACAAATCAGTGACTTGACCGACCTCCTTCAAAACACTGACCAAAACTCCCCTTTTTAGTCTGGCTTTTATTGTGTGATTAATGTTGTGTCCCAAAGTAACATTTTCTTATGTGAGCTTGATTTTATTTTTGACTTTCATTTTTTAACACATTTAAAACAATCTTTGTAAAGCGTCATTAAGCATTTTTAAAAGCACTTCATAAATACAATGTATTATTATATTGTTATTAATATTATTATGAATATTATTATGTATATTTGCCTTAGATGCTAGTGCTGTTGATCGATAAAACATTTAATCACGTTTATCCCAATAGTGGTCGGTGATTATCGATAATTAATCACAAGTTTAAAATACTAGTATTTATAGTATTAAAACAAATACATGAGTGGTGTTTCTGACTTTCATGACTTTTTGTATTATTGGGATGAAGTCAGACAGTTTCCAACACAACGCTAAAGCATCAACAGAGCTGTTGTCATGGAGATCTGCTGTGATCACCCTCTGTATAAGGTAATACACAGGGTATGTGCTCATATGGTAGAATTATTGGTGCAGCTAGCAGTTAAGATTAGGTTAAGATTTATAGATAATCGCAAGAGCGTTAACGCGTTAATGATGGCAGCCCTGTTAGATACAAAATGCAGGTTTTGTAACAAATATTTATTTTAAACCAATTCTTTCCCAAAACCTAGCAAAGTTCTTTTGGAAGCCAAAACCAAACCAAGTTGTAATTCATTGACGTCACTAAAGTGTAAAAAATGTAAAACCAAAGGGCTACCAATGCTTTAAAAAAACACAAAGGGGCCCTGACCAAGCTGCCTTGTTTGTTGATTTGGGAGTGAGAACATATTGATTCTTCAGGTATATCAGTAACTTCAAACCAAAACCTGAAAAGAGAGCTGCAGCTCCAAATAAAGCCCTGTGTGAACCTTACTGTGGAGGTAAAGAGCTAACTCTAGAGACCACAATGCATGATGTAATGTGCACAAGTATGCACTGTACCTGCCAGCTAATGGAAACTACCTTAACACACACACACACACACACACACACACACACACACACACACACACACACACACACACACACACACACACACACACACACACACACACACACACACACACACACACACACACACACTTACTTTGGGGTATTTAGGGCTTAAGAAACTGATATTTGGAGAATAAAAAATGACTGTGCTGCAGAGAAAAAACTTAAAAGCTCTGCAAACACATGGTCCAAGCTAAAAATATCCCACAGGGCGCTTGGATTTGGCTGGGAATTGAGGGAGTGGGGCACAAAGGACTGATCTGGGGTCTGGTCCATAAAAAATAACATCCACAAATAACACGCATGCAACCGAGTTTTAGATATACAGTACATAAACACATAAAGTAGGCTGCTTCATTCGGGATTATACGACAAGTATTAAATCGGCTTCAACTATTAATTGAAAGAGATATGAGCTGCAGCAGAGGTCTATAGCTCTGATCAGAACAAAGCTGGCCAATGTCACTGTTGTACAGACTGTGGGATTCAACTATTATCATAACGACAGCTGAATATATTTATCTATTCGTGTACCGGGGAGACTCCAGAGGATTCTAGGCCAGAGCAGCATAGAGCATAACAGAGAGGTCAAACTGAGCCTTCCACAAATGTTTTAACCACTCTCCCAAGGGTTACGCAGAATTATCTGCCACAATTTATTTTCGGTTTGAATTTAGCGAGAAAAATATGCAACTAGCTGTCAATCTAGCAGCTTCCGCTCATCACATTGATCCTGAAACCACTGAAAGGATTGGCTTAACATTTGATACAAACAGTTATGGTTACCAAAGGATTAATTCTTAATTCTTTGGTGATTTTCTGTCTTTCTTGGCATCACCATGAGGTTAAAATTTTTGGCTTTTAAGTTAAATGTTTGACAACTACCAGAAGGATTGGCTTAACATTTTTTAAAAACGTTCATGGTTCTCAGAGGATGAATCCTGACCTTTTCTATCATCACCATGAGGTTGACATTTGTGGTTTCGATAGAAATGTCTTAACAACTACTGGCTAGATAGGTTTCACATTTTGCGCAGGGTAATTCCTAAACACCTGGGTGATCCAAATACTTGTCCTTAGCATCTACATAAGGTTGGTATTTATGGTTTCAAGAGAAAGGTCTCGAAAACGACTGGATGGATTGGCTCCGCATTTTGTACAAACCTTCAAGGTTTACAGAGAATGAATCTCAAATTGATTCTATGACTTTTTCCCAGCATCACAATGAAGTTTGTGGTGTGAGGTGAAATGTGTGAAAACTACTGTATGAATTGGCTTCACGTGTTGTACAAACATTCATAGTTCCCAGAGGATGAATTGTAAATACTTTGGTGATTCTCTTACTTTTTCCCAGCGTCATCATGAGGTTAACATTTGTTAAATCTCACGCCACTATTGGATAGATTGTCATGAAATGTGTCACAGACATTCATGATCAACTCAGGAAGAACTTGTTGATAGTTATCTATCTAGCACCTTTACAGAAACTGATAACATTCCCATCAGACTAAGCTGCACTTTGTGTACTTCAGTCTATACTTAATGTATAAAGTCTATAACTAAAACTAAACCCTTTGCCAGTACATTTTGTGAGCAAATGCAAATGAAAAAAAAATACCTTGAGCGGCTGATGAAGCAACCTCTGCCTCTCTGGGAAAGTAGTGTAAAAAGACTTCCCGCAGAGGCCCTGGAGGCTTTGGACCAACTTTACTCTATGCAGCCCATTAGTGAAAGTGTGCTAATTAGTTAACACCATAAAACAGCAATGCCCTTGGCTTTGTGTGACACGTGGTTTGAGACCACTGCATGCCACAAACATGCAGAATTGTTTTTTCCCATACTTTACCCCTTACTCCAGAAACAATCACACATCCTCAGTTTAGGGCATAAACAAGAATATGTAAAAGTAGTAGTGTGCATATAAGAAGCAGATACGACTCTTATCATGAGGTTTTTGGCTTCAGACCAGAATCCCACGCTACAGAGAGAGACACACTCACGCTCCAAACCAAGGTCACCCAACCCTGTTTGGACAATAACCAACAGGGAGGTGGGACAGAGGGCTATGTGTACTGTATGTCATCTGAGACAGACAGGGATATCAACTGTGACTCATTATTTTTAGACTTTGGATATGATCATAGGTTAAAAATGTAGTTGCAGTTTCTGTGAATGTCATGCTTTCTATTGTAGCATAGCACATCTGACAATCTGGGCTTGCATGTTGGTGTACTACACAAAGAGCTGGCTGTAAACAGGGCAGAGGCTGTGTGCCACAATATGCAATAAAAAACCTTATTGACGTCCTAAAACTCAAATAAAATTGGCATATTCCACATAATTCTAAAAATGCTACATTCAGAATAAGGCCCTGTTCAGAATATCCAAAGGAAATATGCTGTTGACGTGACCATATTGAGTTATTTATATTGTCATATTCGGAATGACAGCAGTGTGCATGTAAACGTAATAACTGTTTGGTATCTGCTGTATTTTCATGGAGGGAACAACAATAAGAAATATATACTGTATGAAACCAAAAAAAAGTTTTAATTTAAGCCCAACTTTACCATGCTGATAGTTTGATGACTGTTACACATCTAATTATGATATTGACAATATGATGGTGTGAATCACAAGTAACTCCTCCAGTTATCCCCAGTCTGTATGAAGCCACAGGGACCTCATCTTATATCATATCTCTGGAACAGCATTTTGGTTTCAGCTTTCCCTGGGTGTGTCACCATGATGCTTTACTACCTCCATCCTTCTCTGTCTGGCCCTGTATCTCTCTATACCAGGGGTGGGGAACCTCCGGCCTCCGGCCCGTATACGGCCCGCGAGACCATTTGGTACGGCCCTCGAGGTAATTTATAAACACACGCAAAAAAGAAAAGAAAAAAAAGAAATCTAGACCGCAAAATAATTAAACAAGCTTGTTTTTCCTGGCCTGGTCGGGGTCCTTGAACACAACCGGAGCCTAACGTGTCATCACGTGGTATATGTCTCGTCTCACAGGAGTGTAGTTCTAACGGAGAGCACCAGAACGCGGCTCCGGGCCGGGACTTCACAAATTGCAATACCCATAAGGAGCTGTACACATGCCGCAGTTTTTGCGTGGCTGTGTCTTTAGTTGAAAGCCCAGTGGCGATCTGTTCATCTGTCATACTGATCATACAGTCAATAACGTTGTTGTTATTAGCATCTGGTTAGCTAGCTATGCTAACGAATATAAGAAGCTTTTTCTCCAACCAGTGAGGTAAAGGCACATCTTTATGATCATTATAGTTATAGAAAAATAAGAGAATAAAGTAAACAGGTATACAATACTAATATGACAGTAAAAAAAAGTTGTTATAAATAAACAAGAATACAGTTTAAAAGGGAAGTGATTTGTAAAATATTCATAAAGAAAAAAATCTGTTTACAGTTCTGTTTCATATGGGTGTTGAGAGATGTATCCATAGATCTCTTCATGTTGCTCTCAAAGTGCACCAGATTGATGCTTTTAACTTCAACATTTAAACAAAATCTTCCTGGTGGTGCATGCCCCCAAACCCACCGAGGTGAGGTTAGATCCGCCCCCCCCCCACTTAAATCATGTCCACATGGATATGAAACTAAATACATTTGCACACATCTTGTGTCCATATCTTTCTGTTTTGGTGGTCATGCCACGGTGCATGAATGCGCGGGTCATGGTCAAATATCTGGATTAAGAGGTTGCTTTTTTCTTTGCACAGCATGAAAGAAAGGCGAAATGAATGGGCTGTGATTTGAGTTTTTTAAGTCAGACGTTGAGTTCAATAATTTGTACGGCCCTCGAACTGAGACTGCCAAGGCACACNCGTTGTCGCTTGCCGGCGGGGGGGGGCTGAAACTCGACCAACAACCAATCACATGAATCTCCCGCCCCAGACACTCAAGCACACGGTTTGATTGGCTAGAGCTTGCACTGGCATATAATTCGATTGGCTGACGCCTCCGTCGAGGCGGCAAAGTAGAACATTGCTCAACTTTTGCAGCGAGCACCGCGAGAGAAGCTACGCTTTGCTCCCACAATGCAGTTCGGCGAATCGTGACGTCACCCCATTCAAAGTGAATGGGCAGAAGCGTGTGTAGGGGCCGTTAGAGTGAAAGCGTGTGTCACACACCAGATGCGTGAGAGTTGGTAACCCTGCATAACCCCCAACAACTGAACTGTTTTCGTTCTTACAATTGGTACATATGAAATAAATGATACTGTGTGTTAACTAGTGAGCCTCTGGTGGGCTGGTAGGAGGATTGGTCAGATTTGAAAACGGACAGTATAGTAGTAGCATCATATTTACCATAAATAGATGATGTGTTCTAAATATTGGCAAATAGACAAACTATTCTTGAATGTAAGTTATGCAAATGTAGTATGTATGTGTGTGTGTGTTTACCTTGCAGAGTGAATGACCTTCATACATGTGGAAGCGGCCCTGCATGCACACACATGTCTTCCCCTTCAGCTCCCCGAAAACCAGCCGCCCTGCGTGACCCTGCACTGCAGCACAGAGTGGGGGTTCAGGTGAGACACAGGTACAGTGATGCTAGTTAACCCACACATGATATACAGTACATCAACTTGTAACCAGGCAACTGTGATGCTATTAACTTACCAGTTGCACAGAAAGTACTGACAGTCTCAGAAGTTATACATACAAAATCTGGCTCTTCATGAATAAATAAACATCTCTTCAAAAATGACACTTAATTTACAGGTATAGATGGATTCGATTTGTGTTAAGCAGTTCATCCAGAGGATGTAAACACTATATAACAGTAAATCAGCAGTACCTGTGCTCTGGGGGAAGCCCGGTATGTCAGAGTAGGCAAAGGAGTCCTGACACTTGAGCGAGTCAGCGAGCACCCCCAGGCCCGATCCGCAGATGATCGCCACCTTGGGGCGGTGGTTCGTCTGGGACTTCAGCCAATCAGCTGTCTTCTGGTAGTCGTCATGACTGCAGGAACAGTTTATTGTTAAGGGTCAATGAGATTAGAAGCTGTGTTGTTAAACATTACAACAGAGGCAAGAAAAACATGCTTATATCACTGGAAGACTCATAGCACACACACACACACACACACACACACACACACACACACACACACACACACACACACACACACACACACACACACACACACACACAATATGTGCAATTCAAATCCATGCCTTACGAGTCATTGCATGTTTACATTTGAACTGTCCCTTATATTTTACTATTACATATTATTTGATGTTCTACAAAAGCCAGCCAAGCATTTAACACGATTCTCCTTATGGAACCAGAGTGATATAAGCATCATAAACCTTGAATACACCTAACCAGTGAGCAGCATGTAAATATGGTAAATATACAGTTTAATGAAGAATACAGTTTTGAAGTCCTCTTTCTTTCTTTCATGTAAAATACAGAGAACATAACTAAGTAAACAAAAGCAGTCACTACATTGTGCACATTAGGACAGTAAGAAAGGTGCACTACTTATTACTGCAAGAGCAGCTGGTGGTAAGGACCTCAGACAACTTCCATTTAAAACAGGCTATAGGGACAAGTGCCATCAGTTTGAAGTCCTGATCCCTCGTCAGTGAGTTAACTAATATAATTTACTGTTGGATTTTAGTTTCAAAATAATTTTCTTTTTTAATTTCTTGTAAAATATAAAATATTTATAACAAATCATCTTGAACTCAGGAGGTTTTCTAGCGTAAAATAAAAAAACTAACACATATTACATCTTGGTTACATCATCATATAAAATCACCAATACTTTAACTTTACAAGTCACACAGGTTAGGAGGTGTATCTCTGCAGTTTTTAATAACAGCTGGATTTATATAATCTGGTAAAGAGTGAGTTTGTTTAATGTTTAAACTGACAGCAATAATTATTAGGTATTTGGATACAATGCAATGTGCAACTGAAGAGTCACAAACACACATAGTTATAATTTTAAGATCATCTATAACATAATTACTTAGTGCTGTACCCCAAAGGCAACCAGTATTTACAAAAGAGCATGATTTGTTTCTCCTTTCCTCTAAAATGCCCACTTCTTACTACCAATTTCCCTTTTTTCTTGTTTTCCTTCAATGAGTTTACAGTTAAGGAAATATTTCTGATTCATAAAGCATAATTACAGCTGTAATAAGGTCCGTCTAACAATAACAATAACAAGTCACCCAAGGATAAATCTGAGGGACCATAAGCGCATTAACAGAGAATTAGTAGAAAAAAACAAACATATTATGAGGCTTTTTATCCAACTTTCCCCTCCTTTGTACATTTGCTTGTGAATTACTGAATGGAAATACTATTTGTTGAACTACTCATATAAAATTACGAGTGGTCACAATCCAAACATTTTAGTAAACAATGAGTGTTGTGTTTTGAGAGACAACAGCACAGCAATAAATAGTTGAAATAAGATGTAAATAAAGTGTTTTCTTACCTGATCTGTTCTTTGCTGTTCATGATGACAGACGGTAAAGGATATTCAGCAGAATGATGAGTGTGGGATTATTTAAGGAGCCTCTTTCACTGACAGTGAGTGTGTTTGTGTGTAAAAGTGTGTGTGTGTGGCTAGGAAAGTCAGAGTGTTTCCAGCTGATGCTGAGCGGTTAGATATTCACCAGTCACATGCTGCTGATTGGTCAATAATTCGCCCATTCATCAGCAGCAGCCAATGGAGATACAGCGGTGAAGAAACATGCGTGTGTGTGTGTGTGTGTGTGTGTGTGTGTGTGTGTGTGTGTGTGTGTGTGTGTGTGTGTGTGTGTGTGTGTGTGTGTGTGTTTGTTTGTGCGTTAAGTCGGTTTAGAAAGGAATCTTAACACACACACACATTCTTGCACACTTTCGTGCACAATAGTACTTTATGATACTTCTACTCCATCGAAATAGTGTACTTTTCACTCAACAACAACTTCAGTTACCAATGTATTTTCAGTTATTATTAAAACACAAAATAAAGTGAACAAAAAATTGATAATAAATTATTATTAGTTAAAGACAGTACTTAAACAACCCTCAAACGTGAACTAGCCAACTGTTAAAACCTTTTTATTAGCTTAACCTTTTTAAACATCAAAGTGATGAACATATTAATGCATCAATGGTTAAATCCAATAATGTAATTTACACAACTCTAAAATGGTTCTATAAGTATTATTTTAATGAAAATGCTAAGTAAAACTTTGATAGCACAACTTATATTTGAAACTGAGTTTTGTATATTGTGAAGCAAATAAGCTGAGTACTTCTACAGTCCTTGGGTTCGGTCAGATCATTATTCTTAGTGGCTCATATGTCACTCACAGTGAAAATGAAACAGGCATCAAGTTCGAAGTACGCATTTATGAGACTGTTAAAATTACCTTTTTACGTTTATGACATGACTTTTAGACTGCACCACTGAAAATTTCTATCATTTGAACTATAACATTTCTCGTAAATGTAGTCATTTAAAAAAATGGTGCAATGTTTGCTGACTGTTAATGCTGCTCGCAATATAACCTCAACATCCTTTGGACTGTTGTTGCGTTGTTGTTAGTGATTGAAGAAAAATAGAGACTTTTACTGAAGTAAAAGTACTTATACCTCAATTTAATAATACTTTGTTACGAGAAAAAATCCTGCATTTAAAATCTTACTTAAGTAAAGTGTGCAAGTATAATCAAGTAAAGGTACTAAAATATAAAAGGTAAAGTACCGGTGTTTAGTCTTTGCATTATTGTATGTTATTATATTATATCTTTATCAGTTAATATCAATGATGCAATAAGATGCTGTTTAATATTGGCTGCATTAGAGCTACTTTAATATTTATTTATATTGCTGGGTTGTTTCATATATTGCATAACAATGCCTTGCACTTCATAAACAAAGGTTTTCTAAAATATTAATCTGCAAAGCAAAAAGTACAATTTGTCCCCTTGAAAAGTAATGGAGTAGAGAGATAAAAAGTAGCATACAATTAAAATCCTCCATACAGTTGATATTAGAGTAATTGTACTTAGTTACTTTCCTCAGTTGGTTGCAAGTCATATCCGTCACTCCTTCACTGTAATCTATCAAATAAAATACAAAATGACCAATAATGTATAAGGAAACAAAAGTTTCTACTCAGGTAAATGTACCTCACTGTTCAGTCAAATAAAGGATTAAAAGTCTGCTTCTTTGAACCTCGGGTATCAAATGAGGTTACATTTAAATGAATGTGCAGCACGTTTGCATCAGTTAGGTTACATTTGTCGATTTGAACCCTGTTAGGTACGTCGGGCCCGAGCTCAGCCTCTGGATTTAGCCAATCAGAGCGAAGCTTGTCAGTTTAACTAACAGCAGCTCGTCGGTCGGTTCTATATGAATTGAAACTCCACGTGGAGTCTCATGACCGCGTACACACCTCACATGCTGCTGCTCTGATCCGCTAATGAGGCTCATGTGGGGCTGATGGACCAGACCCAACAGAGGAGCTGACAGGAAATGCCCCCCCCTCCCCCCGCAGGAAGACCAGACTGTTGGTCCCTCAATACACCTCCACCTGCAGAGGACACTCAAACCAAAATCACCTCGCAAAAATACCAAATCCAAAAATCTGTATGTATGTACATACATGGTTAGGACTTGGGGCCAGTGCTGGAAGGTAATTAAGTTCTTACTCAAGTACTTTGCCTAAGTAAAATATTGAGGTAGTTGTACTGAACCTGAGTATTTTCATTTTATGCTACTTTATACTTTTACTCCATTACATTTTAAGAGATAATATAAGTACTCAGAACTTGTACTTGAGTAAAAGTAGAAATACCAGAGTGTAGGAATGGTCTAGTAAAAATCCTGCATTCCAAATGTTACTCAAGTAAAATTAAAAAGTACCAAAAGTGAAAGTACTCAGTATGCAGATTGGTCCATTTCAGAATAATATTATATGATATGTTCTGATTATATTTATTGATCAATAAAGTGTTATCAAAGCTGGTAAAGGTGCAGCTAATTTGAATGACTTTGTATACTGCAGGGTAGATTGTGAATTTACTCCAGGTGGAACTAAAGTCTGATTTAAGAGCTGATTATATTTCACATCATTCATCCAAATCTGCAAAGTAAATAAAGGTATTAAATAAATGTAGTACAGTAAACCTCTGAATTGTAGTGGAATAGAAGTACAAAGTAGCAAAAAAATGTAATACTGAAGTAAAGTACAAGTATCTCAGAATTGTACTTAAGTGCAGTACTTGAGTAAATGTACTTAGTTACTCCCCACCTCTGGTATTTTTACAATTCTGTATTGCAACTCAAAGGTCTGAGTACTTCTTCCAATAAAATTAATGACACGTTACGAAGTTGATACTTTACTCGAGCATTTCCATTTTATGCTACTTTTTACTCTAATACATCAAAATCTTTCAAAATAAAAAAATAAAAACCCAAAGGAGATCCAAAGGTTCACATGACACTGAGTAATCACTGAGGATGACACATCTGTCTGTCTCCATTCTTATCCGTTCAGTGTCTTGTCTTCTAGTTTGGCACGTGTGTGTATGTGTGTGTGTGTGTGTGTGTGTGTGTGTGTGTTTGTGTCTGTGTGTGTATTAGAGACATGTCGTGTTATATTGAGGGCAACATCTGGTGTTTTTCACGAGTAAATGTCTAGTTAAATAAGAATATATTGTATATACTATATATTTGAAGGTTTGAAATAATAAAAACTCCAGTGGCCTTTAACCTTATTTAAGCCACATTTGCCATGTTAGCAGCATGGGTCTACAGATTGGTGTAACACTTTAACACTGATTGAAAAATCTCACCAACTATTGGATGGATTTAAACATTTTTTTGGTACAGACGTTCATGGTCAACCCAATCCTCAAAATCTTCTTATGGCGCCATCATGAGGTTTACAATTTAAGTTTTTTGACTCAAATCCTGACATTAATTAAAATGATTGTTGTGAAATCTGGTACAGAAGTTCATGTTCCCGTCAGGATGAACTGTAATACCTGGGTTGATCCCTTAACTTTAAAATTGTGACAAACCTAATGTTAAGACCGTATTTGAACCCAAACCAAATGATGAATCACAGCTGTGTCACATCAGAAGATGGAGGCACAGAGAAAATATGTCGTCCTGATACCGGTTTAGTTGATATTTTAAAGTGAACCAAAACATTAAATTGTAACTAAAACAACAGTGAGTTTTGGTTCTTCATGGAGCTTGCCAAACTAAAGTAAAGCTGACATTTAATTCACCATACTGAATAAAAAAATTGGCACCTGCATGGGTCATCAAAAAGGTATTTTGCGGGGACCGGGATCATTTCCCAGGACAACGTTTATTTTGAAATCAAAGGTTTTTTTTTCAGAAATATTTTCCAACAGAAATTGGATTAGCTTCAAAAAGAAAAAAAGTTGAAACAGTAACTGCTGCTGTCTGAGCGTTAACAGATAAATGTGTGTCATTTGACCCTAATGTGTCACATGTGGAATTTCCTGCTATATTCCAGTTTGAACTTCCTCTGCTGCTCTGTCTGTGTTTAATGCTCAGCTGAACGCTCAACATTACTGCGTTCCTTCACCTCAGTTGAAATGTGAAAAATGTGACCATGGCCATTTAAATGCCACTCGGATATTTAGCATTCCTTCACATACAACTTTTTTTTACCCTGCAATGAATTGAGCCAAATAAAGGAAAAAAAAAAAGGAGCTTATTGTGTGTTGTTTCACTTTATGTCACCACGTGTGTGTTTTGTTAATGAATCTACAACCGTTTGTGTTTTATAGTGTGTGACGGACGTTTGATTCAAATTGTGTGTGTGTGTGTGTGTGTGTCATGCGGACCAACACTAATCAGAGGGACACTGCTGAGCACCATGTGAGGGAGAGGTGGACCGACCGGCCCATCGAAAAGGAGACAGGAAGTCAGTTTAACACGGGACACGGTTAATTTCTGGAGTTTTGGGAAACATGTGAGTGTTTGAGTGCAGAGGTTGTATTACTTCCTGTCAAAGACCTACAGTCAACATTTACTTATGAACCATAACAACATTGTTTAGCAAAATATTTATGTAGTTTATTTTTGAATAACTAAAACACTTTCCATCCAGACTTGGAGAGTAACGCATTACATGTAACGAGATTATGTAATAATCAGGATACAAAAAGCTAACTGTATTCTCTTACAGTTGCTTAAAAAAAAAAAGAACGTTATCAGATTACTGTAACGATTCAAAAAATGTGGGGTTTTAGCAGGATTACAATGTTACTAAACATACTTCTATTTTATTTGATGTAAATTGACTTTACATAACTATTATTATGTATCATGAAGGTTGTGGAGTGAAAATACAAGTTTTTATAATTACAAAAATGTCAGTGGTGGGTAGTAACAACGTACATTTACTCAAGTATAGTACTTAAGTACAATTTTGAGGTACTTGTACTTTACCTGAGTATTCTCACTTTAAGCTACTTTATAGTTATACTCCACAACAATTTAGAGCTAATATTGTACTTTTACTCCACTACATTGATTTGACAGCTTTTACTTTTTAGATTCAGATTATTAGTTTATACAAAAT